AGAGAGAGAGAGAGAGAGAAGAAGAAGAAGAAGCAGCAGCAGCAGCAGCAGCAGCAGCAGCAGCAGCGAGAAACAGCAGGGCTTCCTTCTGAGCAACCAGTTTGCTTCAAGTTGAGTTCATACCCCAGTCTTTCCTGAGAACTCAGCATAGTCCCATAATATGCGCTCCAGACATGTTGACATTTGAGGGCTCACAATTTCCAGCCAGTAAGCCATTCCCACCAGATCTGGAATTACCAGTTAGGTAATCAGAGCTGCATTTTGACAGATATATAGTGCAAAACAATATGGCTTGCATGATTTCTTAGTTGTCAACAAGTTATTCACAAGTTTCAAACTAGGTAGGCCTGGAATTCTTGCAATACTGTGCTGCTTCTGCCCTCCTTTTTGAAAATCACGAAGAGAGGAAGTACATGATGCACTTGGATAATGAAAAAGTAAGTGAAACTAACATGGGGGAGGAACAACTAAGGGAATGTTCCATCACAGGGCTGGGGAACTGAATCAAGACTGAAGGTCTTGGGGGGGGGGGGGAAATCCACACCCAGGTAGAAGCTTGTCCCTAACATCAATGTATTATATTCTCCATGCAGGAAAGAGGAAGTAATGTTTACCACCTGCTCTTCTGTAATGGTAACAGATCCCTGAATCCAAAAAGAAGGCCTGCAAGGAATCCTACTGCCACCTCTGCCTGAGCCAATTCTCTTCAATGGGTGAAAGCCAGAAAGCCACCCTTGAAGAAGAAAGCATGGTATGGCTGAAGGAGAGCCCCTCTGACAAGAATACCTCAAGAGCCTTTATTATCACTTCAGCCACACTGTGCCATCTGTGCTTTCCCTGATGAAAGTGGGAGATGGTTGAAAACAAAGCCGCACGTGCTACACTCTAGCTGGAATGCATGAACTCAGCAATAGCCAACTTCTACCATGCCTTACTTCTCCTTTTCCAAGGAAAGGGTGAGGGTCTGCTTTGATCCATCTGGAGCATGGTGAACTCCCAACACTGATTATAGTGGAAGAAGAGGGGCTTTGTGGGATATTGCAGGCCAGAGGCCCCCAGTCCTGCAATGGAATTAGGCTAATTTACTACTCAGAATGAGATAGTAGCCAGCAGATATCTCTACCCTGATGCCTTTAAGAGTGGTGAAAAACTTCTCAGTGGACACTGTAATGGTATGTGGGAATGACCTTGGGAGACAGGAGGAAGAGACGCAGACTAGACAACCACCATGCAAAAGCTATATCAGCCCACAGAAGCAAAAGGGACATGGGAAGCATCTCAGAATGGACCCTTCCTAGTTTCCTGGAGCGTAAAAGTAAAGGAGGGGAGAAATGCTTTCAGACTTGCACAGTTCTGCTACTGTAACTTCACAATAAAGGTAGTACTACCACAAGTACTCATGGTTAGTGCTTCTTGTCTGGACTACCTTGAAGGGCTGACAGATACAGGGCTCTCTTGCCTCACTATGCTTACCAGTGAGAAATTTAGAATGAGATGGGAGCTAAGTGACCACTAGAATGTTGCAGAGATACACTTAACCCACACCAGTCTTACTGTCAAGAAAACTGTTGGGCTGGGCAACCAGATGGCAATAAAGGAGGAAGGAGAGTTATATACACAACCTTGAGCTCTTGGAGGACAGACTGGATATAATTCTAACAAACAAATGAGAGGAAAAGCTGAAACTGGAAGGAGGTGGTATGGGGAAAGGTGCGTTGACTGTGGAAAGCGGTGCTGAAAAGATGCGCTAGGAGAAGGCAAAAGATGGGGAGATTTAACCTTGCCTGGGAGATGCCATTGTCGGCATAAATAAAAGGCCTTCCTCCATTATCTCTAAACAGACAGGTCATGTACAAGGAAACCAAGGTAATAAATCCATGCACATGTCAGGACATTCTAGAAGAGAGAAGTGACTATTAAGCATTTTAAAAGACTATATATGGACAAAGTACCTCTGTATGTGGAAAAATGTAAAATTTAAGCATGTAACGCAAAAGCATAAGTTAAACCGATGAGAAATGGACACATTATGCTATGCATCTTTATAAGCACTGTAACCATCCTGATGCTGAATCTGTTCTTGGGGTACAGATCCAATGATCATCACTGAATAAACTTTTCTCTTTACCTAGTGGCCTCCTCTAGTCATGGGGCACAGAATCATTCCACAGCACCATACATGTAGGATGAGCTATGCAAGTAACAGATTGATCCACCTTTTCCATGTCAGACACACGGTACCATATATGACCTTACAGAAAACCCAAATGGAATTCTAATCTGTTCAACAGCTGAGAAATGAATTACTACCACTACTTCTTTTCTTTTTTTAACACAAAACAATTACACAGAAGCGCAACCTTGTTCTCCTTTTCTTCTTCCCCCACCTGGCTAAACTAAGACCACCAATTGTGGCAGGTTCCCTCAACAAATACCAGAAGTTTACTAAGAACTGAAGCCAAGGGACAGGGAAGATTCCTATGAGGGTTCAATACATGTTGTTGAATTTGTCTGTTACATAAGCGATAAAGGCACATAAATCTCACAAAAATTGTGGTAATAATTATTAGGATTTTCCAGCAGTCAGAGGGGCATTAGAAAACTGGTCCCACAAAATGTACTGATGGACTGTTTCCTAGTGGAACTGCAAGCAAAGGAGCTCAGTAGGGTAGGAAGGGAGAGGGATATACAATCTGTGTAAGGTGATGCCAGCCTTCCGAGACAGTTCACTACACAGAAATTCCAGGGTGCCTCTTTAGGCCCCTGTTTTCAATTAAAAAGTTGTGGTGGGGAGAGGAAGAAAAGGAAAGCAATAAAACTCAAGCCTGACTACAAAGCTATGAATCTGAATCAA